AATAAAAATGAGAGCTTCGAAGAAATTATAACCTATAACCACAAGTTCCGATAAGTTAAGCTGCGAATGGCTGTCATTCGGTGCCGGGTGCCGCACCCGAAAAAAAATGCATGATACGGTACTACAAACATGACCATAGACTAATGAATTTCACTAGATCGCCCACTCCCTGCAGTCTATTGTCTATTGTCTATAATTTTCATGATCCGTACCCTGGACGTTTCAGGGGTGGGGGGGAGAACGACGCGTTCTAGATAATTCGTTTCGCGGGGGGTGTCGCGCGCCCGTCTTCGTCGTCGTCGTCGTCGTCGTCGTTTTTTTTGTTTAACTCTCGGTCCGAAGGTCGTTTCAATCCGCGTCGCGACGGGCAGCACGCGGTTTTCCCGCCCATCCGGACTCATCGGGATCGATGGAGATGACTCATCGTCTCGTCGTTCGATCGATACGTGACAATTCTTTCAACGCGCGTTCGAACTTGGCGTCGCGGTCGCTCTCGTCGTTTCCTAATTTGGTCTCGTTTCGCGGTTTTCCTCCTTTTGTTTCGCGGTTTTTCCGCCCGTCCCGACGCGACGTATCGAGAGATCGAGCGAGACGACTCGTCTCTTCGTTCGCGATAATTTTCATTCACCTCGCGTTCGACCTGTAATTCACGATTCGCGATAATTTATGTAACGCGCGTTTGAACTCGGCGTCGCGATCGCTCTCGTTGTTTTCTCCTTTTGTTTTTCTTTTATTTTTTGTCGGAGGATACCGCGAGCGGTTGTCGTCATTCTGGGTGTTTTCGGAGGACGCGGCGAGCGGTTGTCGTCATTCCGGGAAAAAGCGCGTCCGGCAGGGGTACGTCCTCCGTTGAGACGACAAACGGGGGAGTATAAATTGAACGGGCGCGCGAACGGCGCGGCAAACGTTTTTTTTTCTATGAGGATTCTAGAGCGCGGTCGAGAGTTAATATATTTGTAAAAAATATACGGTATGGGAACGGATGGACGCTATTGCTCGTCGATGGTGCGTTTGCTTCGCGGCAGAGAAGTCGGATTTCGAAACGTACTCGCTGGCATTGACACGTGGTGTCCCAAGCATTCTAGATCGCATATCAGTAAAAAAGAACGCAGGTGGCGGTGTCCCAAGCATTTTAAATTGCATTTTAAATTGCATTTCAAATTGCATATCGGTAGAACCGAACACATTTGGAGAGCTTTGGACTCATACGTTAAAACATGTTGGTGTATGGTTCGCGGCAGCGTCCGTAACGTTTACGACGAAGTATTGACGCACGAGTTCTGTTTACAGTGTGGAGGGAATTGTAAAATAGGTTTGTGGGATACTTATGATTACACCGAAACATTAATGTGGGGGGATTGAAGATGGAGATTTTTTTTTTATTTTGATATAGACGTCAGCGGTGCGAATATAGCGTCAGCGATACGTCCCAGCCGGAACGTCGACGTCTATAGACGTCCAATTGACATCTTATAGATTTGACATCTATCGACATCTATAAACGTTGAAAAGACGCTAGCATTCCCGGCTGGGGTACTCGCAAAATGAACGATCGCCGTTATCCGTCGTCCGAGGAATCGGACAACGAATTGCGCTGTCGCGGGCCCATGCCTAAGTTTTTGTCCGATTCGGACGACGAATCGGCGAGAGTCGAAGCACCGTTGTCGAGTGCGCGCGCGTCGGTTGCGAAGGAGGACCCGCGATGGAATCTGGCTACCCATCATCTGCGAAGGGAAATCGGAGCGCGAATCCATCGCGAGCGAAAGTGGATAGAGACGACGGTGGCGAACTCCGTCAGGGCGAACGATTATATGCGTCGCCTGCCGCTCAAGTATTATGTCTATCACGAGTCGGTGTACGGAGGAAGGAGCAGGATATATCGGGTTCAAACCGCCTGGTCTCGTCGTCTTTTCGACCGAGTGAAGTTCAACGTTCCCGAGGGTGAACTTTTCTGGACGCGATGTAAAAAGAGTGCGACGAGTTGCTCGCCGCAGACGTCCGCGACTTGGACGGGTACCGCGCGTGGAGACGGCGATGCGACGAGTGTCTCCAATTCCTGCGGGAGCAGTGTCGAGTCAAACGCTCCGGGAAGCGAGGAAACACAGGAACCGTGAGCGCTCTGGTGGCTCTGATAGCGCGATTGGAAGGTGCGAGGGAGGATCTGCGTCGACGATTCGAACGCGCCGTAGGTGCCGGCTTGGACGGAGGGGAAGGTGGTAGCGGCGGCAGCAGCGACAGAGGTTTCTCGTGGATCGAGATCGACGCGGCGTTCCAACGTCGCGTGCTGACCGGCGCCGTGACGAACTCGACGTACATCGAGCCCGCGCGATTTCTCGACGACGCGAAGGGCACCGTGCTCGAAAAGGTCCGGGATAATATGACCGAACACAGGTGTCTGAAGGTCAACGTCATATTCAACGGGGAATTCGTAGCGGACGTTAAGACCGACGTGAAGAGTATCGCTACGCGGAACGAACAGCTTGTCCCAGAGTCCGATCTGAGCGAGTGGTACGATAGGCACGTGCGCGACGCGATTCTAACGCGGTTGGAAGAATTTCAGGAACGCGACAGCGGATGGGCGTTGTCGCGAATATTGAACCTAATCGTGAACGTGAACAAGTGTAATCCCATGCGCGTAGGATGTTGGATGAAAATACCGCTGGGTATAAGACTTAAAAAGGCGGTGGTCAACGTGCCGTCGGAGAACGACGCGTGTTTCGCGCGCGCGGTGGTCGCCGCTCTGTATCCCGCCGAGCGGCACGCGGAACGATGCGGCTCGTATCCCGATTACGCGACGGTGCTGAATCTCGACGGGATCAATTTTCCCATAGATCTGAAAAAGATCGAAAAATTTGAACGTCAGAACGACGTATCGATCAACGTGTTTACAACTCGGGAAGGAATTGAAAAGAAAGCTAAGTTCGGCCGGGGCGCCGATCACAACGCGATCGTGCCTCTGCGGTTGACCGACGATAAGCGGGACAGGCACGTAAATCTGCTGTATCTGCGCGATACGCTGCGCGGCGTCAACAGGGGCCATTTCGCCTGGATAAAGAATCTGTCGCGATTGGTGAATTCGCAATTGACAGCGAAACGGTACGCGAAGCACGTTTGCGATCGGTAGGTAAAAGAAATGAAAAAAAAAAAAAAAAAAAAAAAAAAAACACGGGGAACAAGGAAAAGACGAGGCGTTATTTTTTTACATACACGCAGTAATCGCTCGCACGTTATTTTTTCGCAGATGTCTACACTATTTCTATACGCGCGACAAGTTGGTTGCCCACAGCGTCGACTGCGGCCGAATGAACGACTACGCCGTCGTTCTCCCGAACGAGAGCGACAAGTGGCTGTCTTTCGACAATTACGTCAGAAAGGAGCGACTTCCCTTCGTGATGTACGCGGATCTGGAGTGTTTTCTCGAACGACGGGAGAGGGAAAACGTCGAAGGGGGCACGAGAACGGAAAGATACGCTTATCAGCGTCACGTACCGTTCAGCGTGGGCTATTATCTGTGCTGCACATACGACGATACCGCGTCCGCGTACAGATATCGTCGCGGCGAGGATTGCGTTTCGTGGTTCGTGAACGAGCTTCGCGTTCTCGCGCGTCGCGTTAAGAATAAATTTTCCACCAATATAGCGATGGTGAAACTTACGGAGGACGAGAAAAGCGAATTTCTGTTTGCGACTCATTGTCACGTGTGCGGGAAACCGTTTCAACCGGAGGACAAGCGCGTGCGGGATCACTGTCACCTAACCGGACGTTACAGAGGTCCGGCGCATTCTCGTTGCAATCTAAATTACAGAAACGTTTACGTGATTCCCGTGTTCTTTCACAATTTGTCGGGTTACAACGCGCACTTCGTCGTCGAGAAAATCGCGAACGATTTCGAGGGCGGGGTCGATCTGCTGCCGCTCACGAAGGAAAGCTACATATCTTTCTCAAAGACCGTTAAGGAGACGCAGACGGACGGGGGATGGGATCGGTACGTGAAGTTTCGATTCGTGGACTCGTATAAATTTTTAGCGGCGAATATCGAAACCCTGGCGTCCTATTTGAACAGGGACAAGCTGAGAATCACGCGTTCGGAGTACGCGGATTTGAGCGCGAAGGATCTCGATCTGCTCACTCGCAAGGGAGTGTTTCCGTACGAGTACGTCGACGGCGCGGACAAACTGCGGGATACCGAGCTTCCACCGCGCGAGGCCTTTTACAGCTCCCTGACCGACGAGACCGCGAGCGAGAGCGACTACGAGCACGCGACGAGGGTCTGGCGACGTTTTCGCGTGCGAGATCTCGGCGAGTACAGCGATCTGTATCTCAAGACCGACGTGCTTCTTCTGGCGGATATATTTGAAAATTTTCGGGACGCGTGTTCGGCGAGTTACGGGCTCGATCCCGCGCATTACTACACGTTGCCGGGGTACACGTGGGACGCCATGCTGAGGTACACCGGCGTGCGTTTCGAGCTGCTCACCGACATCGACATGGTGCTGTTCGTGGAACGCGGAATACGCGGCGGCCTCAGTCAATGTTCGCTTAGGTACGCGCGAGCCAACAACAAGCACGTACCGACGCACGACTCGTCCCAGCCCACTACGTATCTCATGTATTACGACGTAAACAATCTGTACGGCTGGGCTATGAGCGAATCGTTGCCCTACGCGAATTTCCAGTGGCTCGACGATCCTGAGAATTTCGACGCGACGACCGTGCCGACGGACAGCGACGTCGGTTACATTTTGGAGGTGGATCTCGAGTACCCGCGAGACCTGCACGACGCCCACGCGGATCTGCCGTTGTGCCCGACGCGTGCCCGGCAACCGACAGGAAAAACTGCTCGCCACTCTCTACGACAAATCGGGCTACGTGACGCACTATCGAAACTTGCAGCAATGTCTGCGACTAGGTATGCGTCTGACGCGCGTTCGTCGCGTTCTGCGATTCGCCCAGTCGCCGTGGCTTCGCGTCTACATCGAGCTGAACACCGCGCTTAGGACGCGCGCGAGCAACGAGTTCGAACGGAATTTGTACAAACTGATGAACAACGCCGTCTTCGGCAAGACTATGGAGAACGTGCGCGATCACGTGGACGTGCGTCTCGTGACGCGATGGGACGGGAGATACGGCGCGGAGGCGTTGATCGCTAAGCCAAATTTTCACAGCAGGAGCGTCTTCTCGGAGAATCTGGTGGCGATCGAGCTGCGAAGGCTCGAGGTAACATTCAACAAGCCGATCTACGTGGGTATGTCTGATCTATTTTCGAGATATCCAAGACGCGTCTCTACGAGTTTCACTACGACTACATGGTGCCGCTCTATCGCGACCGTTGTCGAATTGCCTACACGGATACGGACAGTCTGATCTATTCGCTGGAGTGCAAAGACGCGTACGAGCGGATGAAACGCGACGTGCACAGGTTCGACACAAGCGATTACGCGGAGAACAACGCGCAACGTGGGTATGCCGCGCGTCAACAAGAAGGTGCTAGGTTTGATGAAGGACGAGAACAACGGCGCGATCATGACGGAATTCGTGGGCCTCAGAGCGAAGATGTACACTTACAAGGTACTCGGACGCGACGACACCAAGAGAATAAAGGGCGTCAAGAGAAATGTAGTCGCAAAGAGGATCACGTTCGAGGATTACGTGGAGTGCCTGCGGAACGCGCGCGAGCTGAAGACGCGCCAGTCGTGCATACGCTCGACGTTGCACGAGGTTGACACCGTGTCGGAGCAAAAACTAGCCCTCAGTCCGCACGACAACAAGCGATACGTGACGTCGAACGGTGAGGAGACGCTTCCGTGGGGACATTACAAAATACCGTTGTAAAAAA